AGTTCATCAAGGATAGGAATGATCATCTTCCGGCCAATACAGTCACCACCAACGGCATTGGAAGTTGTCGCTAAAATGCATCTCTTAACATCACATTCAGTAAATTGACGTATGACAAGTTGAGAAGCTTCGGGCAACGGAAGTTGTGAAAGACCTTTTAATGTAGCAGCTTTGGTGGCCCCATCTAAGGAGGGCGAAGTTGAGAAGTGTATATTAAGAGAATTAATGTCTACATTTCTAGGAATAGAATCTGGTTCAGATTTACCGATGCCCAAAGATTTAAGGAATTTCCAAACTTTAGCTGGATCACTATCTTCAATAGATTTATGGATATATTGGCGTTTAGCATTCCTGCACACCTTGTTGCAGTGATTCCTGATGGTGACAAAATTATTTCTATTTTTGTCATTTGGTTTAATTTTCTATTTGTACTTCGCTGCGGATTTTTTTGCGATAAGATTTTTTACCTCCTCAGTTAGCCAAGGAGTAGGGTGATGTTTGACCCTAATAGCCCGAACAGGAGCGTGCTTATCGTACAGCTGCAGTAATGCTGCATTGAGAAGCTCCACCTGTTCATCGACAGTCGCAGCTTCAACCAAGTGTGTCCAGTCAATGCCTCTTGCATCCTCCCGAAGACGGTCCATATCCATGCCATCAAAATTACGAAGAAAAAGAGTTTTTGCTTTATGCTTTGGTGGACGAATGTTGTAAGAAGTGTAAATTAAGTCATGGTAGGAAAAAGCGTCAGCCGAACACTGTCCATGTTTAGCGACATGGTTAGGAGAGGAAACTAGAATTAAATCAAGCAGTGAAGGAACAGAATTAGGAAAATGGTGAGTAGCATTTAGACCGAGGACGGAAAGATTTGCAGATTCAATAATTTGTGTGAAAGAATTAGCCCGAGAATCGTTTTTAAGTAAACAGGTATTAAAATCCCCCATTATGATATTGTGATCATATGAAGGAGTAAAGGTTTCAAGTAGTAGTTCGAAAGATGAAAAGAAGTTTATGCGCAGAGAGGGACAGTAATACACGCCAAGAAGAACCTTGGTGCGATGTAACTCAACCTCCAGAAGCAAGTGTTCACCAGCATTAGGTGGAGGCGGTTGCGGGGACATACTAAGGACTTTAAAAGGAATGTATTTACGAAGATATATGGCCACACCACCACCGCCGCCAGCGGCACGATCATTCCTGATAAGGTGATAACCAGGTAGAGAATAGGAGGAAGAAGGAAGGCAGGGCTTTAACCATGACTCAGAAACAAGTATTGCATGAATATTTTTGCAATCAAAAACTGCCAGCATATCAGAGAAGTGAGCCGGAATACTCTGAGCATTTATGTGGACGACATTGAAGTGCTGAGATTCATCGGAAAAAAACGAGACGAGCGTATCATTCAGGCAAGGAATACTAAAAAAACTGTCATCGCCAGAACTTAAAGACAAATATGCCAGAATTTACCTGATGGAAAGCAATCAGCGCTGCCCATAGACACCCGCAACAACAGAGGAGTTAGATTAGGATTTTGGGGATTTAAAAATTGGAGGAAGGGTAGGATTGTGCCTCCGGTAACCTCACTTACACGGCAAAACTTAACGCTGTGGCGAAACATATAAATATATTCTCATTATGTAGCTAAATTGAAATCTGTTTATTGCTATCATTATAATAAATAAACAAACGGTTTTTTGTATTTTTGAGTTATCAGCTCTAGCGCTAATGTACAGTAGGAGCCCCGGTCCGGAACGGGAAAGTCAAAAGTCAAAATCATTTATTTCAATTAGACCCATACAGGCACTTTTGAACGTCAAATGGTATCGAAAAGAAACGAAATGGTTTTCAGTCAGTAACAGCTTGACACTACCTGTCGTTCCGCCTACGGAGGAAGAAATAAAAGATGGTTTGCCCGCTTATTAAAAAAAAACATTGTTTTGCGTTGGCTTCTGCATCAATCCTGCCAAGCTGTCCCATTCGTGTTGAACATCGAGTGGATATTTTCTCTTTGGTGCTGAAGCATGGCTTTTATGCTACGCTTGTTATGATGTATTTATATTCAATGATGATGAAGAATAATAAATGAATAATCAAATACACTTCGTTAATGGGTAGCGTTATAATTAATTATTCGATAATATTCAGTCATTAGTATTAATAAGATAATTTTATTAATATGGTAGTGGCATGATTTAATATATGTATACTAACGACATCTGTTGCCTATATACAACATTAGTGTTATTTAATAACAACATGACAAGTTCTGCAATCGTTGCTCTCATAAATCAAGTCCTATACAAAATAACATCTAGGACTACTAACGCCATCTAGTCTGTATGTAAAAAACTATATTCGCTAAGTAATGTCAATAGATGGCGTTGTAAGTAGCAGTAATTTGTACCGTAATTAGGATTTTATTTGCAGCAGGTGGGCTTTTTGGAAAGTCATGAAACACTATAATCTGAAATTATCGAGTTTGTGTAGTAAAGTTGTGAATTGCAGGTCAGTCACGCACGAAAGTTTGCCTATAATTTTCATTGTGCTGCGTTTACAACGATTTTGTACTTGACCATCTCTTAACGTTTAATTCAATTGAGTTTATTCAATCGTTAGTAGTTACACAATTTTTTTATTAGTTGTAAAATGATTTATTTACTGCCTTGTCTGTTCAGCAATTTTAGGGATCGATCGAGTAAGATGTCTACAGACATTATGCAATACATGGAAACTACAAAATTTCGATTTGGAAGTCTGGGAATGACGATGACGATATATTATGAAAATTATTATAATCAACAATTATTATTACTTCAAATTCAATAACTATCGCAAACACAACCCTGCATCAGATACCTAATAAAATTCTTATCAGTTTTTTTTTTATTTATTTATTTAAACTACCTAAGGCATTTTCTACCAGTCAAACCTTGGGTGATGCAGAGATGAGCCAATGGTCGGTGCAAGAAGCAAGCAAACGGCTTAACTTTAAATCTGATAAGACATACGAGATAGATATATGTGCGTATTATTAACGTACAAGTTACTATATCCCTAATATATACCTACATTCATACTCAAATTATATTGTATAATAATAAATAACTTCTACATATATATACTATATACATACATAAGTATACTATATACATACATAAGTATACTATATACATACATATACTATATACATACATATACTAATACCTATTAATAATAATGTATGGTGGTCACGATTTAGCCAAACCTTTAAATAAAAGCTCACAAACCTTTTGTTTAAAAGTCAAGCGACTAGACACCATCCTGACATCCGGGGGGAGCGCATTCCACAGCAAGACAGACTGGACAAAAAAGGAGGAATGGAGAAAATCAGTGCGGTGAGTGGGACATTGGAGAAGACGGTTATGGGAAGAACGAAGATTTTTGCTGTGGTTTGCGCACAAGTATTGAAAGTAAGAGGATAGATAGCTAGGCGAACAAGGTAAGTTGAGGAAAGAGAACAGAGTGGTTAGCGCCCTTTGCTCCCTGCGCTGGCGTATGGGCAACCACTTCAATTGCAACCGATGTGCAGAAACATGATCATATTTACGCAGGTTGAAAACGAATCGAATGCAGTTGTTAAGAAGTCGGTCGAGTTTATTGAGTAGATCAGCATTCAGGTCGTAGTAACAAACATCAGCATATTTAATCTATAATAGGAAAAACCAAGGCCTGCACCAGCATTGCTTTCGTAGCAGACGGAAGCAAATTCTTCAGGCGATACAGTGTCCGCAGGGATCCCGTGACCCTTTTACATACACTAGCGACATGAGTATGCCACTTCAAATGACTGTCAATGTACAGGCCCAGATCCTTAACTTCACTACTAAGTGGGATTATGGCACTGTCAAAGACAATATTCGGTAAATTTGGGTCCATTCCGCTCAAAGTACGAGGGCTGCCTATGACGATTGCTTGGCATTTAAGAGGATTCACCGCTATGCCAAACATTTCAGACCAGTCCTTATTGGTGCCCAAGTCATTATTGATCATCGTGATTGCATCGGACAGCCTATCAATATTAGCATGACAGTATAGCTGTTTTTAATGTTGACATTAAAAAAACATTATCAATCAACATAAATATCGTGACTGATGATTCATGTACATACGAAAAATATCACTTCCAGGTTTGTAGTTGCGTCAGTAAAAACTATATTCTATATCAATACCCAGCCACTCAGTCTAGCGTACTCGCCTGATTCAACGCTCCACCGTCCTTGAACGAGCCCATAATTTACTTTTACGTCTATCTATTTCATTTAATTCAACTTGAAATTACAAATAGCTTCTTAGGGCGTTCCCAAACGATTACATTTGAAACTTAAGGCTATTTCAAACAATTTATGACGGGTCTGACTTTCGAAACTCGATTTAGGGAAGTTCTCAAAATAATCGGACAGATTTGTCGGCAGTTTTAATGTGGGGTCAAGGGATTGAGGTTCGTCGCTAGTGGGCGCGTATTGTTCGTCTGTTGAGGAGCATTATTAAGCTAAATTATGCGAGAATCATAAATGTAAAATATAGTATCAGTAATATGAAATTTATTTTCTTCTCCACAAATAATATCTTCTGATTTATATTTCGTTGCGGGATCCAAGACTGTCAGTCATTCATGTCCCTATCACTTCAGTTCAGTTTGGAAGGTTGCGGCGGACTTGTCCCATATAAAAAAATAAAAAAATATCGCCTGAGCAGCCAAAGCCAACATATACAAACAAAAATGCGTAACAATCTTCTATAACTGAACTAACTTGAATTTTCAATTAATGATAAATTGATAGCAACAAAACACGCATTCCTACAATATTGCTATAATGACTGTGCAAGGCGCTCAAAATTCAAATATAAACTAATAATAAATAGAACCAGGTTAAGTGTATAGTATTGGAATGTTATTAATCAAAACATATTCATTCATTTTATTTCAAACTTTGTTCTTTTTTGGATAATAGTTTCAGCTCAATATGAGGTATATTAAGAGTTATACGGCGAGATCGCTTCACCGAGACCGCGCACAAAGTAGGTGAGCAGTCCGCGGGACGACCTATGCCTTTCAAAAATAGTTTCGCCCTAATAGGACATTGCCAAGAGTTACCAAGGCCCAATAATTTCCTTACTCAATAGATTGAGGCACGAAGAATAAGCGCGCTCGCCCTGCACCTATACTCGCCGGCGGAACGAAACCATAGCGCGATTCAGGAAAATGGCGGAATAGGTCAACGCCATCTATCGAGCTTTAGGTCAAACTGTTTGTGTCACTGTAAAACAACTTTTGTTGTTTGGTTTTACATTTCCAGCCTGTTTTATTTAACGAATTGAACTGCTAGACTTAAATAAATGAACTGATGATTATTTTTGTGTCTGGTGTCTGAAGGAACAGGGTGTCTTTATTTAGGTGTATCGCAGAGCGCTGCTGCTTGTCGCCTTTAGCACCTTTCAATATTTTAATTCGACACACAATAAAAGAACAATAGATGCGCGAACGAATGCGTTCGCTTGGGGTTTAATGAATTAAGTGCATTTTTCTCTCACGCCTCATTGTTATGCACCAGTCACAAAATTCATGAAAAATTAATTCTGTATCGCTAACATCTAGCCCACTACCCCACTGGTGGTCGTTCATACAATTTCTTTGAATGACGAACATTTTACAAAATCGTGGCTTAATTGTTTTTACAGTAATTAAAACATTAAGTATCTTTGTTGAACTTCGAAAAAATCCTTCCGCAATATTAAAATGATTTTGATTGCGTTACTTTTGTTATCTGTTTTTCCTCTTTCCTCCATTATGTAAGGAAGGTCTAAGGTTTAGCAGACCTCAACACAACGCTTAGGTACTGGCCTCTGAACACAAGGTGTCTTCTTAAACGGAGAAGAAATTAACATTTATCACCACGCTTACTTTTTTTAGAGCCGACGGATTACCTACTGGTAAGGATTCGGCGCCGCCCATGGACACTCGCAATATCAAAAGTTTACCCTTAACTTCGTACAAGTGTGTTGCTAGCCTCTGGTTGGGCTATTAATGATTTAAGGGGAATTTTGTGGATTGAGGATTGGGCTTCCGGTAACCTCACTTACTCATGGCGGATTGGCTATTAACGTAACATGAAGAGCCATGCTTCGGTACTAAGGTATCAGTAAAAGCCTGAGATTTCTGAAAACACTGGATGATTTTCTCAAAAAAAAAGAAAATATCGGTAAACCAAGTTTGTTTTTTTAGTCTGTGACATATGCAGACATTTTGATAGGCAACCGTGTGTTGCTATCTATTTCTGTGAGACATATTTTCCTTCAATACGGCCGGTATTACGTAAGCTCCATTCCCTGAAGTTGATTAGTGATGGGACAACTTTCAATATATCGATATCCAAAAACATTGTCCTAAGATTCTATTATACGAGTGGGAATAGAAAAACAACTTCACAATTTTTGTTTAACGTCATCTATTGAATTAATGTGTTGAATTTTTTTATATACGACAGTATAAAAAGAAACTTTACAATTTTTGTATAACGCCATCTATTGAATAAAGAGGCAAACTAGCAATGTTATTTGTTTCGCTACCTGTGTGCCAATTATTAAATCGCTTACTCCAAAAACTTTGTCGGCAGGCAGCAACAGACTTGTTACTCCTGTGTTGTTCCAGTGTGTGGGGATCCGTGTACTCAGTTACCGCCAAATCTTGAAAAAAATGTTAACAAGTTTATTTGTACATTGTTATTATTATTCTAAGATTACCGCAATTGATATTCAAGAAAAAAAAAGAGAATTTAAAACTTTCCCCATTCATGTTAACCAGGTAAATTATGTGTATTTTTTAGCTAATAGGCTAATATAAAAGAATTCATAAAATGGCAAATTTTATTATGTTTTCTGAAGGCATGCAACAGACGAAATCAATTACACAAATAATACGATTAACCTTCTATTGTCCTTTAAAAAACTGTATTTTATTTTTTAGTTAAAACTGCACAATATTTGCATTTGATGAACTTGATAATATAATTTGGTTATAAAACTAGATTTTCAAGATCCAGGTAATTTTTTAATTTAATTAGTAAGGTCATGTTGTGTGCTGTATTTAAAAAAATGTATATTTCATATAATATCTTCAAAATACTACTAGCTTAAGCCAGCGGTTTTACCCGATAGTGCTCCTATTAGTTGTACCTAACGTTAATATACAGTATTAGCGACACCACAGAGGGCCAAATAGGCCCGATGTTCAGCTGTAAGCATAGTCAGTAGACTATGCTTCCAGCTGAACATCGGCTGAAGATACTGACAGTGACACTACTTACTGTCTCCTCATCCTAAATGAGGGAAGTCATTTGATGATTAAAAAAAGGTTTTCGTAATAAATTAATTAACCAACTCAAAAATCAAAACACATATTTTTTCATTTCAAACAGTAAGTAGTTCTTTAGATTATTGCGTTCAAACACACAAACTTTACGGCTTTACAATATTAGTATAGATACACTTGCATTTACTTGCATTATGGATAAATATATTGTGAATGCATATATGATTTAATCACAGAATCAAATGTCAATAAATATACTTAATAATGCACAAAAATAAGAAGTTAACAAAGTTGACGAGTTGTTTGACTGTTTGTGAATATTTTTCATGGCGTAACTAAACAAATAAACTAAATAAAATTAAAGATACGTCTTCGTTGGGAAGTTACCTCGCGATCTGATCCGATTCCCAGATTGGATATATGGAAATATATCCATGGACACCATCAGACTACTACAGATGGGGTCTACTGGGGTCAATCTCCAGCCAAGACTGCGGATAAGCACAATGGAAGAAGTAAATTGATGGTCAAAACTCTTAAGTGCATGGTTGGCGCAATGCCTGGGAAACTGGCTGCTGTGCAACGTGTCGCGGGTTCACTGACAACACTTAGTGTTATCCACGAATGTTGTTTCGGGCCTGGGTGTCCTGTGCATGTGAAATTGTATGTTTGTAGGCGCACTCACGACACAGGAGAAAAACTCGTGTAAGGATTTTTTTTCTATGGTCGGGATCATATTTTTTGCTTTACAATTTTAAAAACTTTTCAAATACTCTTTTAATGCAATTAAAGTAGACTTGTTTTCTAAGTTATAATTATATTTGCATAATCATAGCCACTATCAGTCTCTAAGTGCCCACTGCTAAGCAATTGCCTATTCTCACACGGAGAAGCTAGCACTACTCTGCATATAATCATATCGCTTTCTTAACACATTCTGTGCCCCCGACGCACCTGTGCGTTCAATACATTAATGTATAGAACGCACAGGTGCGTCGAGGGCACTGAATGTGTTAAGGTGGATTAGCGATTCCAAACTTATACCCACTTAGAAAATCCAGGCCTCATTACGGTATTTCCCTTCTTCGTCAGTGTTGCCAAAAAAACTATGAATTTACGTATTACTCGGATCACATTGATACTTGCCTGATTTCCGCGTTAATGAGAAAAGGGCGCCGTTTTTTTTACCATCTTAAATAATAAAAATAATAAATTACAATAAATTCAACGAGTCTCTTCAACCCTTCCGTGATAAAAACACATGACATACAAACATAAAAAACTCTTGTTACGTAAAATTATCGATATTAAACAATACAAGTGTCCCATCACTAGTCTCCTTTGTAAGGCAATCTCCCTATTTACGGGCGTGCAGCGGTGCAGACTCTATTAAATCGACGCTAGAGCGGTGTCACCTGAATTAATATCGATCATAGCACAACACTATCGTTTTATCGTATCCAGAGACTCATTAGTTTGTTTATTAAAGTTTAAGAAGATATTTTCAAAAGATTTTAAGTGATTTTGGTTCTCACACAAAGGTTATTTTATTATAAATAATTGATTTTAAAAAGAGTAACGATGGAGTTTCTTGCTCGTTCTTCTCCATTCGAATCTGCAATTTGGAACGAGCACTTAACTTCACTGACGAACAGATTGGCAGACTACTATTCTATTTTGACGTTTCAAAAGTACCTATTTCTGATTAAGTAGGAATATAATATGATTTTGACTTTGACTTTGTCTATTAATCACCAATTCACGCTTGATTTGTTAAGGCGATGAGATTTTTAAACTTATAATAACAAATTATAATTATAAATTCTCCTTACGCCGTACCTATTAGAATATCAATTTGTTTTTTTTTTTAATGTCATAGGTCGGCGAACGAGCAGTCTAATTACCTGATGGTAAGCAATCGGCGCGGCCATTGGATACCCGTAACACCGGAGGAGTTACGAGAACTTTGCCAGCATTTTGGAATTAGGATTACGGAGGTTTGGGGATTGGGGTAGGATACTTCGACTCTGAGAAAAGTCGTGAATAATAGATGATCATCATTCTTCATCCATCCTATATACGATGACTTTGGTAACGGCTTATTATAATATGTTTAGTCTGTAAAGAACATATCGAAAATATGTTGAACATTTTTTTTATTTGATCGTTAAAGAAAACATTACTTAGAGTCAACGAAATTAGGTTTAAATAAAAGAAGATGGTCACTTTGCCATCGCATACTATAATTAAAAGGTACTGATTAGTGACCTCACACGATAATCAAAATTATTTGCTTCCGTACGTACGTAAACATAGTACATATACCAGTCTATTCTTCTAAATTAATTTAAAAGACGAACATTTCAATGAAAATAAATTCTCTTCTTTCTCTTATCTTCTCCGGCTCAGAGCAGGAGAAGGAACGGGGCGATTTTTAATCAGTATAAATAAGACCCAGGGCAGGAGACAGAGAAGTAACTGGATGACTTTCCCCATGAAAGTAATCCAATAATTTCAATCTTTAAATCAAAATCAAAATAAAACAAACTATAATATGGCACTCGTATGAAGAACATAAAAGTTCCATAAATCCACCTTATTGCCTAGCATTCTAAGTTTATTATATTCTAACAAGATCCCAGGACACAAGATGTCTCCATATGCGACTGTCTAGAAACTTTACGAAAATAATTTTATTTTTAGACGTATGCACTCTGTGTCAAGTTATGTTTTCTTTAATATAATAAAGTAACTTACGTCCGGAATTTTTAACAGGATTTTCTCCCGTGTCATGGATACGTTTATAAAAATACACATCACACCCAAACTCGGAACAAGGATCTGTGGATGAAAAAAAGAAAGTACATTTTAAATGTATCAATTTTACTACTCATTATATGTATTTAAGCGTGGAACAGACATGCTTCGGCACGAAGGGGCCGGCTCGACCGGATTGATACCACGCCCACACAGAAAACCAAGCCACAACCACGTGAAGCAAGACTTACGTTGTGTATCGCCATGTGAGTGAGGTTAACGGAGGCCCTCCCCCATCCTCAATCCTCAAATCCCCTCTCCGTACATCCAACCCATACGGATGGCCTCTGCCAGCAACGCACTTGGTATAACGAGTCTCCGTAGGCGGCACCGGTTGCTTACCACCAGATAATCCGTCAACCCATTTCATCATCATGATCATCATCAGCCTATAACTGCCCACTGCTGAGCAAAGGCCACTTCTCATACGGAGAAGGATTGATCATTAATCACCACATTGCGCTTTGCTCTTGGCGAGTTCAAACTCAGAATTAATAATTAATTACTTGTGACCCATCCCAGCTTCACATGTGTGCAAATATTTTGTATCAGCTTTGATACAAAATATTTAATGTATGTTATAAATCTTCCCCTTCGATCACGCTATCTGTAAAAAATCATCATCATCATCATCAGTGCCTATAAGTGCCCACTGCTGAGCAAAGGCCTCTTCTCACACAGAGAAGGTTTGAGCATTTATCACCATGCTTGCTCAATGCGGGTTGGTGATTTTAAACTTATAATTAGAAATTATAAGTCCAGGTTTCCTCACGATGTTTACCTTCACCGTATGTCAGTGTTGTCTTAATAATCATAGAAAGTACATATAACTCGGAAAAAGTCACATTGGACCTTGCCAGGTTTCGAACCCACACCTTCATGCATGAGAAACGGGCTCCTTAACCTCCGGGCCACCACGACATTTTATCTGTTTCCTGTTTCGTAGTTTTCAAGATTCAAGCATACAAAGGGACTGAAAAAGTGGCTATGTTTTATACTAAGTACTGATAGTGATAAGCCAAAGTTACGTCACGGTAGAGAGAGATATCTAAATAAACTTGAAATAAATTAACTAAAAATCGCGATGTCGCGCAGCCTACTCATCGCCGCGTCCGCGCACGCCGCTGCTCATGAGGAAGAACCCCCTTTATGGCTCGAAACTAGTAGAGCTTTTCTCAATTTACACACGTGAGTAACCCGCGATTTTTAGTTAATTTAGTAGGTATGTCTCACGATAGTTATTATAAAAACTTGAAATATGCTTCGTACGAGTATGTATAAAACATACAAAAAAATAATACAAGAAATCCAAGCTAGTAAAAAATTAGAAAGAATACTTTTACATTTTCCGAAATAACCAAAGCAATTTCAGCTTTAGCAAGCTCGGTTTATTTTCAATAGGAAAAACAATACGGCTTGCATTGTAGTCCTAACTAGTAACTATCATCTTTTGTTTCCAAGATATTAAAATACTACTTTCTTGGAAATCTGGAGCACATGCACATTGGATAGCTTTGGGTACTCGGGTTGTTACAAAAACTTTTTTATGGAAAAATTAGCATACACGTCGTAGCCTATAGTAAAATGTGAAAGAGTTATGCTTCGGCACGAATGGGTCGGCTCGACCGGAGTGATACCACGGCCTCACAGAAAACCGGCGTGAAATAACCACAGCATTCTGTTTCGCCGTGTAATTGATGTTCCAAGCCCAATTCTTCCCCTCCCCCAATCCTGAAATCGCAAAACTCCAAAAAGTTCGGCAACGCTCTCGTAACTCCCTTGTTGTTGCGGGTGTCCATGGGTGGCGATGATTGCTTACCATCAGGTAATCCGTCTGCTAGTTTGTAGAAATATCACAAAAAATGTTCTCTTATCAGTTCGAGCACCTATTAGTCTTCTATAGTGTCTCGAATTATCACAATTGGAAGGTTAATGAGTAATTTAGTTATTCAATCAAAACTAGTCATTCATGTTCTTGACTTAGGGCTGATTTTTTTGTCAGATAAATATTATATGAGGAATAAAATTGTTGCTGTCACTGTCTTATACAAACATTCTGACGCGACAGCATCATAATTATTCCCCAGATAACTGGGGAAAATTATCTAACCATTGTAAAATCAGTCTTCAATGGCTAATTAAACTACGTAATTGCGTACAACATATACACAGGTAGACTTAATGACAAAAACTATTTACTACTTCATTTATTAATTTCGTCTATATATTAAATATTCTTTTCATAACGGGAATGTAGTTCTATCAAGTAACATTAACCATTTTAGAATAATAATCGTCTTTTGATGTTTTTTTTCTTAACTTGTTTCGCCAGGTTATTAAGGTTTTGTGTTTTATTGAAGACGAATCTAGCTTCCGCCTGCGGCTTCGCACACGTATACAAGTAATATATTCCGAGTTTTTTTTTTTTAATTAATAGGTTGGCAAACGAGCATGCGGATTACCTGATGGTAAGCAATCAGCGCCGCCCATGGACACTCGCAACGGAGGCGTTACGAGTGCGTTGCCGACCTTTTAGGGATTAGGGATTGGGAGATTTAGGGATTTAGGAGGGATTGGGCCTCCGGTAACCTCCATCAGTCGGCGAAACACAACGCTGTGGTTATTTCACGCCGGTTTTCTTTGAGGCCGTGGTATTACTCCGGTTGAGCCGACCCATTCGTGCCGAAGCATGGCTGTCCCACACTTAAATTTTCAAAGCTGTAAGTAGCGTTTAAATCGATAGCTTGACTAAAATACGGAAATCAAGTACTTATAACATATAATAACAGAATAATTTATAGAATTTTGGGCATTCTTACAAACTTACAATTTTACCTCTTTATTAGTCTAGATACAGTACATGAAATCTGCCAAAAGAATTAGTCTTCTATGGTGTCTCAAATTACCACAATTGGAAGGTTAATGAGTAATTTAGTTATTCAATCAAAACTAGTCATTCATGTTCTTGACTTAGGGCTGATTTTCTTGTCAGATAAATATTATATGAGGAATAAAATTGTTGCTGTCACTGTCTTATACAAACATTCTGACGCGACAGCATCATAATTATTCCCCAGATAACTGGGGAAAATTATCTAACCATTGTAAAATCAGTCTTCAATGGCTAATTAAACTACGTAATTGCGTACAACATATACACAGGTAGACTTAATGACAAAAACTATTTACTACTTCATTTATTAATTTCGTCTATATATTAAATATTCTTTTCATAACGGGAATGTAGTTCTATCAAGTAACATTAACCATTTTAGAATAATAATCGTCTTTTGATGTTTTTTTTCTTAACTTGTTTCGCCAGGTTATTAAGGTTTTGTGTTTTATTGAAGACGAATCTAGCTTCCGCCTGCGGCTTCGCACACGTATACAAGTAATATATTCCGAGTTTTTTTTTTTTTTAATTAATAGGTTGGCAAACGAGCATGCGGATTACCTGATGGTAAGCAATCAGCGCCGCCCATGGACACTCGCAACGGAGGCGTTACGAGTGCGTTGCCGACCTTTTAGGGATTAGGGATTGGGAGATTTAGGGATTTAGGAGGGATTGGGCCTCCGGTAACCTCCATCAGTCGGCGAAACACAACGCTGTGGTTATTTCACGCCGGTTTTCTTTGAGGCCGTGGTATTACTCCGGTTGAGCCGACCCATTCGTGCCGAAGCATGGCTGTCCCACACTTAAATTTTCAAAGCTGTAAGTAGCGTTTAAATCGATAGCTTGACTAAAATACGGAAATCAAGTACTTATAACATATAATAACATAATAATTTATAGAATTTTGGGCATTCTTACAAACTTACAATTTTACCTCTTTATTAGTCTAGATACAGTACATGAAATCTGCCAAAAGAATGAAGGGAAAAATATAAAAAAAACTACACTTCATTCAATGAAACAATGAATTTATTTTTGCAAATAGGCCATAATAGGCTTTTACGCGTCAATTTATATGTGAAAAACTAGATGAAGCATTTGGTTCATGATCCCATTTGACACAACTCATCCATCCCGGCTGGACTCTTTGGCACTCTACGCAGTGCCAAAGAGTCCAGCCGGGATGTAGCCTCGCTATGTGTTCTCTATCCCATATATGTATATCACGGGGAATGTTCTGAGGAATTGTTCGGTTGGATCCCCGTAGCATCTTTTATGGGCGGCACTAATCACTAGTCGTGGTGGCCCGGAGGTTAAGGAGCACGCTTCTCATGCTTGAGGTTGTGGGTTCGAAACCTGGCAAGTACCAATGTGACTTTTTCCGAGTTATATGAACTTTCTATGATTATTTAGACTCCACTGACATACGGTGAAGGTAAACATCGTGAGGAAACCTGGATATATAATTTCAAATTATAAGTTTAAAATCGCCAACCCGCATTGAGCAATAGTAGGTATGAGAAAAGGCCTTTGCTCAGCAGTGGGCACTTATAGGCTGATGATGATGATGATGACTAATCACTTACCGTCAGGTGACCTGGCTACTCGTTTGCCTCCTTTCCCATAAATATAACTACTGACATACTCCTAATCGCTTTGATTGCCCTTTGGAAATAAGAAGAAGGCAGGAGTGGTCCTACACGACCATAGTGATACCACGGCGTTACAAACAATCAGCGTGAAACAACGCACTTGTAACTCCTTTAGTGCTGTATCTATGGGCGGTGCAGATTGCTTACCATCAGGTGATACGACTATTCGCTTGTCGAACTATTCCTATAAAAAAAAAATAAGTTCAAATAACACAGTTGCAGAATAAACTTGTACTAGTTTTGGTGTTTGGATCTCCGGTAGAATCTTTAAACATTTCGCTACGAAACTGTTCGCGAAAATCCATTTTGAAGGCAGTTGACAATTTAACAAGCGGAGCGGTTGAGTTCCAAAATAACTAATTTGGAGTATAATAAAAAAAAATACACAGATTTTGACACTATTCGAAGGAAGGAACTACAATGAATTTATTTTTATAAATAGGCCCTAAAACAGCACTTTTACACGTCAAGATTATATTTTAAAAACTAGATAAAGCCGGCATTACCTATTTAAGAAGAAACGCCGAAACAAACTCAGAGGTGTGTCTTACTTTCATATCACATCATCAGCCTCTAAGTGTCCACTGCTGAGCAACGGTCTCTTCTCACACGGACAAGGTTCGAGAATTAATCACCACGCTTGCTCAAGGCGATCACAAACTTATAATTAGAAATTATAAGTCTAGGTTTCCTTACGATGTTTTCCTTTACCGTATTTCTATGTGTGTCCAAATAATCATAGAAAGTACACATAACTCGAAAAAAGTCACGTTTGTACTTGCCAGGTTTCCAAACCACACCCTCATAAGATGCGGGCACCTTAACCTCCTGGTCACCACGATCCACGACCCTGACGTGATATGTTTACGCGCAGATGGCGTGGATTTTCTATCAGGAACACGGATATAAAATCCCAAAGCGTCTTGGTATTTCCAATTAGATCAGTTAGGAAAATTATTATTGGAGTTTAATTGAAAATAAATAAATTTGAACTTTCATCTGTTTATGATACAAGCGAGTGACTTATGTAGGTAACCTCCGGGTCACCACAAAACCTTTTGACATCGACTGTTAATTACCGAAGTAACGTTGACCTATTGTAGCTATTAATAGCATTGCAATTAAATCTCGTACTAAGTGCTTGAACGACTGATTCATACCATGACAGAAATTGATTTTTTTTTTATTTTATTTTTTTTAAAAGAACGTTGCCCCACACTAGGGTTTTCTCCTGTGACGTGGGTGCGGTTACAAACATACAATTTCACATGCACATGACACCCAGACCCGGAACAACAATTTGTGGGTCACACAAAGAATTGTTCCGTGCGGGAAACGAACCCGCGACACGTTGCACGGCAGCCAGTTGCCCAGCCACCGCACCAACCGAGCAGTCGAGTTTTTTCAACTCGTGAATTGAATTGAATTTTAAATATAATTAAGTTATTTTAAGATATTAAAACAGAGCTTCCTCTCTCCTGTGTGCCTTATTTTGCTGTGCCCTACAGGGTCCATAATTAATCTCACTCAAATTGTTACCACCTTTAAATATACTTATGGAAAAGCAATAAAGATGTTGAGTATTAAGTATTAAATAAATAAAATATCTTAGTGAATTAGTTTAAAAATCGCTACCGCTCATGCCTAAGTCCGCAACCTGACCAATTTGTTTTCCAATTTGTTGTGCTCGTAATACTGTAAGCAGGTTATAGAAACTTTTAAATAAATATTAAGTGGAACAGGTTTCCGCTATTCCGCCGTGCATAAAATCTTAATTTGATAAACTTAGAAATAGTTATCAATGAAGTAGTTTAAAAAGATATCATTTAAGTGTTGGAGATCCATGCTTCGGCACGAATGTGTCAGCTCGACCTGATTGATACCACAGCCTTACAGAAAACCGGCGTGGAACGACCACAGTGTTGTGTTTCGCCATGTTTGTAAGGTTATCGCAGGCCCGATGTTTCTTCCCCCAATCCCAAAATCTCCGAAACCCTCATATCGAAACCTATACCGGTAATTCGGTAGGTTTATTTAAAGTGTCTAAATAAACTTCAAAAATTAGCAACAAATAATTATTACGCAGCAGCAGTAAGCAGTCTAAAGTATTATTTTTCTCGTTAATACTCGCGTAATTATATGTTGTAAACTTCTTCTTCTTCTTCATATAGTCGGTCCCTCATATCTGAGGATCGCGGTAAGCATCGGGATAACATCTGGAGCGGATGATCCGCTTCCACCGGCTTCGATCCAGCGCATCTCTCACTACCGCGAAGAATTCGGAGGACGATAATTCTTTCTCTTGATCGATCCATCTGGTTGGTGAACGACCACGCGATCGTTTACCTTCGGTGTTCCCAACGACCATCAGTTTTCCCGACTTTCATCGCTCCTGCGCACATGTAGTGAACATGAAACGCAAAAGTTTATAAGTTAGGGAAACTTTAAAAGTGCGTATTACTCGGAAAGGTCTTATTGGTAACTACTTGCTACGATTCAATGCCTTATCCATGAGACACACTAAGAGGACTGACCGACAGACTGACACTATATCTTCAAAATTTTTGTTTGACGTTCAAAAGTGCCTGTAAAGGTCTAATTGGAATAAATGATTTTTGACTTTTGACTTTTGAGAAGCTGGTGCGTCAACCTCTAGGCCCCCACGACCTTTCTGACCTCTCCTACAAGTTAAAATAACATTTTCTAAGCAAGCGGTTAACGAACGAGAAACTAAAAATTTCAATGACGTCAATTTCGACATTTATTTTGACTTATAGCATAATAGGAGGTCAACGAGGTGGTCATTAAAAATGAAAAATAAAAAAAAACATAATTTTTGCATGATAATTTTTTTGGATTATTAATTATTTTATTTTTAATTTGAACCTCTAGTTTGGTTTGAATATAGACGAACTAGCTACTAGTCTCGCGCGGTTTTACTGTCGGCACGAATGAGTCGGCTAGACCGGAGTGTAATACGGCCTCACAGAAAACCGTCGTGAAACAACCACAGCGTTGTGTATCGCCGTGTGAGGTTACCGGAGGCCCATTCTTTACCCTCTCCCATACTTTCCCAAAACGCCTACAACGCACTTGTAACTCCTTTGATGTTGCGTTTATTCATGGGCAGCGCCGATTGCTTACCATCAGGTAATCCATCTGCTTGTTTGACAACATAGTATCTCATAAAACATGCATAAATATGTTCAGTCAGTTTACAAGTTGTGGTAGAATCAGTATTTTGAACGTACCCTGATGAAAAACCTCTTGAATGTGACACGGTGTGGGCACAGTAGTGGCTCCCCCTATCGAATGTGTTCGATGGTTCCCTCAACATCGAGAGCAGAAGATTAAATACGGCACTTTTTTCAAAAAGCCATACCTAAGTTTGTTATATGGACCTAGTGGAATGTTGAACATTTTTGTTTTGTGTGTACGAAAAAGAGTAGACGGATTACCTGATGGTAAGCAATTGACCGCCTATGGACACCCGTAAAACTAATGGAGTTACGAGTGCGTCGCCGACCTTTGGGGATTAGGGTTTGGTAGATTTAAGGATTCTGGAGAGGAAGGATTGGACGTTTTTATAATAACTATCGTGAGACATACTAAATTAACTAAAAATCGCGGGTTACTCACGTGCATAAATTGAGAAAAGCCCTACTAGTTTCGAACTACAGAGAGGTTCTTCCTCATGAGCAGCGTGCGCGGACGCGGCGACGTCGCGCAAGCAAGGAACGATTGGACCTTTGGTTGTCTCACTCACAAAGCGAAACACAACGCTGTGATTGTTTCACGCCGGTTTTCTGTGAGGCGTGGCAACACTCCGGTCGAGCCAACCCATTCGCACCAAAGCTTGGCTCTTCTACTCTTAAAGGGACCTTGGGGAATGTAGAACAAATTTCCACGCGTTCGTAAGAAACTTACTTACGCTCAAAGGCATCTCGTAAAGCCACGGTCACCACCACCCATGGATACGCCAGAGAAGCTACAAGGGGATTGCCAGTCTTCTAAAAAGCAGTATGTCCTCTTAAATATTTTCATTTCTTGGATTTATATGACTTCGGTAACCAAGTGGGAATGTAAAATGGCTTATAAGAGGGTCGCTGTTTTTAAGTACCTATTATTGAGACTTGAAAGCGTCTCAATGGTGCCTGATATAAGGAAAAAAGTATAGGTCCAAGTATCAAATACGTGATACACTTAGTAGGTGCTTTTGGCAACCACATCGTTGTGTTTCGCCGTGTAAATGAGGTTATCGGAGTTCCAATCCACCCCCATCCCTCCTCAACCCCGAAATCCCCTGAAGTCCTACAACGCACTCATTCAACTCTTGTAATGATGTGTGCGGTTGTCCAGGGAGGGCACTGATTGGTTACCATCAACTTAAACATATAATAAAAATCATTTAGGTACCTAAAGCTGTCGATATTGTAAAATGTCATATCCATTATCTTCGTACACTCACGTCCGACTCATACGAGTACGCAGTGAAATTATTCGTGTGTGAATATCGAGATAGTGAGCCGAATAGATTTCGCATCGATGTATCGATACCGAATATTCAACCAATCGATGCTTAGCTCTCGATACACATCGATTTTAATTAACTATGTACCAGATTTTTTGTTCAAAATGGCATTTGGGAGTTTTTGTTTCGTTTATTCTTTGTATAGTGTTTCGAATGGTTGTTTTTTTATTTGATTTGGTAAACGATCAATCGGAATATCTGATGGTAAGCAATCGGCGCCGACCATGGCCATAAAAAACACCAGAGGAATTACGCGTGCATTGCCGATTTTTTGGGGATTAGGGTTTAGGAGATTTAGGGATTAGGCAAAGGTATAGATAGAGCCTCCGCTGACCTTACTCACGCTGCGAAACACACTGTAGTTTTAACGATAGCACTGGCCTATTCGTACCGAAGCATGGCTCTCCTACAGTGACGTTTGAATACTTAACTCGAATCTTTGTTAATATGATGTTGTTGTGCATACTTGAGCTTTGTTCCAAGTCGTATCAAATAAAAAAAGTGAAGCCAATATAGAATCAAATCGAATCAATTAAGTCTGTGCGTCAGTAAAAAGAATATTTTTCAAAAAGAGAATATATTCAAATTACCAGTTATTTTGTTTTTCGTTTTCGATTTTCGACGTAATCGATCTTTTTACCTATGACAAGAAAGGCAAAGATACATAATGTTACGAGTATTTTATAGTGAGTATTAATAAAATACAAGAAAACAGAAAATATGCGTGAAACGACGAATCAATTATCCTGATGGTAAGCATTCGAAGCCGCCCATGTACACCCGAAGCCTCAATGTTGTATGCCCTTGATAGGTTAGTTACTACAAATGCGTTTGCGAAATTTTGTGGAATTTTTGGGATTTGAGGTAAGGGATTTGGGGATTAAGGAAGGATCGGGTTTGCGGTAACCTCACTCATAAGGCGAAACATAACGTAAGTCTTGTTTTGACAAAATACTGCGTCACAGAATACCATTAAATATATATTCTGTGTTATGTGTTCCATAATGTATTCTGTGAGGAAAAAATATAATTTTGAATTTTATTTTAATTAATTTTTAGATCTGTTTCTGTGCCCTAACAGGATCCATAACTGTATTACCATAACTATATAAGCCTAATAAACATGTTTTACACAAATTCTGCTTTGCAAATTAATGAATAAATCAATATGAGAATGGCAACATTTGACGATGTATATGTTGTTACTATAGTGATTTAATATCCATGTATTTTCTTTTTATTTAATTTTAAACTTTACTACTTAGCTATTAAGAGTTCTTCCATTTTGCTGTACCCTGCTTACAGGGTCTACCACGGCTCTTAGCTCTATAGTTTTGTTAAGATACTTTTGACCTTTTTTACCTTGCAGAACGCAAATAAATTAATATGAAATATGCTGTGACGCCGTGGTATAACCCTTGTACGAGCCGGCCCAATCGCGCAGAAACAGGGCTGTCCTACACTTAACTTACTCCTGTGGAGGCAACCTACGCCTATTATACACTAGATATTGGCAGTGTTTTGTGTTAAATTATTAACATAATCCTTTGATTTTATTTAAAAGTTTATATGTATGTAGTGTAGAAAGTTTGACAGTTAATCGAAAGATGAATAAATTACTTATTCATTCTATTTATTAAATTTTATATTGACGGAACCTTTTTATATTTAATTTCGTATCCTACATTTTTTTTTATGTGAAAGTTTGTGGGTTAGAAAAAATCTTAACTATCCTAACGGTATTTTAATAGGCTTGTAGGCTCGTTTTCTCGGAGACTCACTACAGATGGCGCCCAGAGCCGATGTTCAGCTGAGGGTGCCGGTGCAAGGGCGTGATATTGCGAAGAAAATTTTGCGAAAATTTCCAATAAATTTTGTATTTCGAAACGGGATAATGAGTTACCCAGTATGAGGAATTTATTTCCTTCCTCTCCCCCAATCCCTTATCCCCAAAAAAGCGGCGCTGATTACTTACCATCTGATAATCTACAGTCGTTTGCCGACCAATCACATAAAAAAAATACTCTTTGCAAAGTTGTGACCACTCGTCGGATGACAAAATCGCCGTTATATAATGAAATGTATACAATATCTGAAAACACTAAAATAAATCTGTAATTTATATTATTTGTACAGGACAGTGCTACGCCTAGAGCTGTATTCCTGAGGTCCCAAATAAACAGAAGAAAACAAATGTTCTTATTCGACCCTAACCTTCAATAGATTATGAGTACAATGATAAAACATAAGAAATTTTTGTTTTGAATAAAGGGTCTAAGATTCTAGGTAAAAAAGAAGTCTGTTATATAAATCGTCTCACACAGATTAGTTTAAAAAAGGACATCGAGAGGAAACCTAATGACTTTTTTTTTACTTGCATTTAACTAGTGCTTGACTGCGATCCCACCTGATGGTAGGCAGTGATGCAATCGTTGATGGTAAGGCGCACTCGTTTATTAAGAACCTATTCACTCTAGCCTTGAAGAAACCTAAATTGTATTTGGACGGAAAGAATGCAGCCGGCAAACTGTTCCAATCTCTCGATGTATGCGGTATAAATGACGAGGCAAAACGCAACATAATATGGGTTACAGACTAATAAAAAAATGTAAGTAGTGAGGTATCTGATCCTTCTTCACTAAGCTTGGCGATCATATATTATATGTTCGGTGGGCAAACGCAGCAGACACAACATGTTTTTTTGTTAGGGAAAAACCATCAAATCAAATGACTCCTCTCGCCTAGAATAGAGGGAGAGGAAG